CAATTATTAGCACTATTTTGTACATGAGTGCTTATTGGATTACTTGGAATATTTTGTAACTATGAATATATAACTTATCTGATTTATTATAACTCTGCATATTCGTAGCTATGGGTATTTTGGAAACCTATTTCTAGTTGTATGCGGTAGTCACAAGGGTTCAATTGAATGAATTATGTTTTTATGCAATATAAAGTGTATGGTAACATAATATGTTAAAAAAGTGGTCTTACAGAGAGATTAATTAGAGATTAAAGTAGGATGATGAATGTATGCATGAAAGGATTACAATAAGGGAAAAAATTTCAAGGGTAGAAATTTCGGTCCTTACATTATGGTACCAGAGCATAGTTAATCCTGCGGCCTAGGTTATGGCCTTGCATGCTTCTTTGTGATCTTATACGCTGAAAATTGTTGATATGAACTAATTGCTAAGTGATTATGTGAACTTTGTTTAGACAAAATTATGTTTCTGACAAGTGGATGAGTACAAGTACCCATTACTAAAATGTCTGGAAGAGGACGAGGAAGAGGATCGGGCAGAATGAATTGTTGGCCCAGATTGTGGCAGTGCTGACAAACATGAACGAGAACTTGCAACACCTGAATTAGAATACGACACCAAGCCCGAGTTCACAGCCTTTGGTTCCACCCTATCCGGCTGAGTATCGAGGTTTGGATGAGTTCTGTAGGAGGAACCCTAGTTCGTTTCAAGGGGGATTCGCTCCCGATGCAGCCATCGAGTGGATACAGAGGTTGGAGAGGATTTTCAAGGTCATGAGCTGTTTTGATGCTCAGAAGTTGGCGTATGCCACCTATTTGTTAGAGAAGGAGGCCGAAAGCTAGTGGGAATTCACTCGGCGCCAAATGGAGGCGGAGGGGCAAGTAATCTTGTGGTGTACTTTTAGGGAGAAATTCCTTCGAAAGTATTTTCCTGCTGATTTGAGGAGTCAGAAAGAGATGAAATTCTTGAGGTTGGAACAAGGAAACCTGTCGGTGGGGACTATGCGGCCAAATTTGAATAATTGGCCCGATTTTGCCCTTACTCTGAATTGGAAGCGGACGGAAGGTCCAAGTGTTCGAAGTTTGAATCGGGTTTGAAGCCCAAGTTGAAAACGATGCTTAGGCATCAAGAGATCCTGATTTTTCTACATTGGTCAACAAGTGTAGAATGGTTGAGGATGATATGAAGGCGGATGAAGTGGTGGCGTCAAGATCACTTCCTCCCAAGAATTTTGGGCCCCAAAGGAATTTTGTGCACGAGAAGGGCAGGGTAAGGCGTTTCTAGAAGAAGGGAAGCCTTATTCCTCGCCTATGGGTAACAGAGGATATACTCAGCATGGGTCAAGAACTCATGCCAATACCGGAGGGTCGCAGCCACACTCTCAATCCTGGTGTATCAAATGCGGCCGGAAGCATTTTGGTGATTCGTGCCCCGGAACCACACTTAGCTGTTTTTACTGCAAGGAGAGTGGGCATCTTAAGAGGCATTGTCCCAAATTACGGCAAAGTATGAATGTTGTTAGTGTTGAACGACCCCGATCCACCGGCAGAGTATTCACCATGAGTGGTGCAGATGCATCAAATGTGGATGGCCTGATCAAAGGTAATTGCACGGTGGCAGGTATTCCCCTTTTAGTGTTGTTTGATTCGGGAGGGACACACTCCTTTGTATCTATTGAATGCGTGGATAGACTGAAATTGCAAATTGAGTCGTTGCCTTTTAACTTGGTCGTATCCACCCCCACTGATGTGCCTGTGGTGGTGTCGATAGTGGTGTCTCGATGTCCGGTAGTGGTAAACGGTAGGACTTTTACCGTGGATTTAATCTGCTTGCCACTATCCCAGTTGGATCTAATTCTGGGGATGGACTGGTTGTCGGCGAATCATATAATGCTTAATTGTGTCGATAAGACCGTGGTATTCGGGAATCTAGATGAGATTTATGATGAGGTTAATGACATGAAAACGTTATCGGCAAAGGAAGTCAGGACTTCCTGTAAGGAGGGAGGAGCCGTGTTTATGTTGTTGGCATCCTTGGAGGGTATTGAGAAACCTAAGGTTGAGGATATTCCGATAGTTCGTGAGTTTCCTGAGGTATTTCCTGCTGATATTCCGGAGTTACCTCTAGTAAGAGAAGTGGAATTCTCTATTGATTTGGTACCTGGAACGGGACCCATCTCTATAGCTCCTTATAGGATGGCACCGTTAGAATTGGCCGAGTTGAAAAAGTAGGTCGAGGACTTATTGGCCAAGAAGTTTATTCGCCCTAGTGTCTCGCCGTGGGGTGCGCCTGTTTTGTTGGTTAAGAAGAAAGATGGTAGTATGTGGTTGTGTACCGACTACAGACAATTGAACAAGGTTACTATCAAGAACAAGTACCCATTGCCTCGGATTGATGACTTGATGGATCAGCTGAGAGGGGCGGTAGTGTTTTCAAATATTGATCTTCGGTCAAGATACCACCAACTTCGTGTGAAGTCGGAAGACATTCCTAAAACTGCTTTTAGGACAAGGTATGGACATTTTGAATACTTGGTCATGCCTTTTGGTGTAACGAATGCCCCAACAATATTTACCGACTACATGAATCGTATTTTTCACCCGTATTTAGATTCATTCATAGTGGTATTTATTGATGACATTTTAGTTTACTCCAAAAGCCGAGAGGAGCATGCTGAGCACTTGAGGGTTGTGCTAGAACTTCTTAGTAAGAATCGGTTGTATGCGAAGCTGTCAAAATGTGATTTCTGGATGGAATCGGTAAACTTTCTTGGACATGTGATATCCAAGGAAGGAGTGGCAGTAGATCCTTCAAAGGTGGAAGCGGTTATGGAATGGGTGGTGCCCAAGTCAGTCACTAAGATTAGGAGCTTTCTGGGTTTGGCTGGATATTATCGGAAATTCATTGAAGGATTTTCGAAGTTGGCACTACCATTGACTAAGCTCACTCGGAAAGGAGAACCGTATGTGTGGACACTTCGTTGTGAAGAAAGCTTTCAGGAGTTGAAACAAAGGTTGACTACGGCACCAGTGTTGGTTCTTCCTTGTATCGATAAGGATTTCAGTGTTTATTGTGATGCTTCCAAGCAAGGTTTGGGTTGTGTTCTGATGCAGGAAGGGAAAGTTGTTGCCTATGCTTCTCGTCAGTTAAGAACGCACGAGCAAAACTACCCTACTCATGATTTAGAATTGGCTGCAGTGGTCTTTGCTTTAAAAATCTGGAGACATCATCTCTATGGCATAAGGTTTGTGGTGTTCAGTGACCACAAGAGTTTGAAATATTTATTTGATCAAAAGGAGCTGAATATGAGGCAGAGGAGATGGATGGAGTTCCTAAAGGATTATGATTTTGGATTGCAGTACCATCCGAGAAAGGCCAATGTAGTGGCCGATGCGCTAAGTCGGAAATATTTACACATGTCGGCTTTGATGGTTAGGGAAGGGAAACTGATTGAAGAGTTTAGAGATATGAACTTGGATGTTCAGATAAAGCCTCATAGTATGATTTTGGGAATGCTGAAGGTCACCAATGAATTGTTTAATCAAATTCGAGTATTGCAAGTTGAGGATATCGAGATAATAGCCAAACGGGATTTGATGCTAAGTGGCAAGGAAACTGGTTTCGCATCGGACCCTAGTGGAATGCTGCGTTATAAAGGGAGATCATGTTTTCATGAGAGTGGTCCCGACTACCGGAATTGGTAGAGTGTTGAAATCTCGCAAGCTGACTCCGAGATTTATTGGACCGTATCAAGTATTTAAAAGGATTGGGCCGGTAGCATATTGGATTGCTTTGCCTTCGTTGTTGTCGAACCTTCATAATGTGTTTCATGTGTCTCAGTTAAGGAAGTATGTTGGAGATCCATCTCATGTGGTAGAATCTGATCAGATAGAATTGAAAGATAACTTGACCTTTTCGACGTTGCCCGTGAGGATCATGGATACCAGTATCAAGAGACTAAGAGGCAAGGAGATTCCTTTGGTGAAAGTAGTATGGAGCCAAGTAGACGAAGGGGATGCTATTTGGGAGGTGGAGCGTGACATGAGGGAGGATTACCCTCACTTGTTCGAATTGAGGTATGTTAAATTTTCGGGGACGAAAATTCTTATAAGAGGGGGAGGATTGTAACACCCTAAATTTAAGTTCTTAAAATTATAGTATAAGTCCTGGGATCCTCGCTTGAACGAGAGATTCTCACCCGGGAGAGAAAGGCTCACCTGGGAGGGTGAAATCCTGGGCTATACTGGAGGATTCTCGCCTGAGCGATAGTTGTTTCGCCTGGGCAAGAAATGGCATTTTGGGACTGTTGAGACTATGAGATTCTCGCTTCAGCGAGAATCCCTCGCTTGAGCGAAAGGGTCAAATTTGAGTTTTTTAAAATAGGCGGGATTTTCTCGCTTGAGCGAGAAAGGGCTCGCTTAAGCGAGAACCCGACGCTGTTACATTAAATAGGGGACCCCAAACACATTTATGAGGGTTAACCTAAAGAGAAGTGAGAGAATGGAGCATTTTCAAGAGCAAGAAGGCTTGTGAGTCAATTAGAAGCTTGAGAAGAGGTAGATCTCTTGATTCTAAATCTCTTCTTCCCTTTGAAACTTGTTTTGGGTATGTTGGATCTCTTCTCAAAAACAGAGAAACCATTGAAACTCACCATTTTGAGTTATGGTTCGTTTTATGTGATTTTATCTTGTAAAATTTTGGTATAGAGTTAGTATTTCAAGAAAGGAGAGGGTTTGTGGATTGATTCATGAAAACCCCAAAACCCTAAAGTGAAAATGGGATTAAGATGGAAAATGGGTAAAATCTTAGAAGTAGATGATGAGTTTACTTTCTAATGTTGAGAATATGAGATGAATATGTATGTTTTAGATGTTGTAAACTTATGATGAAAGTAGTTTAGCAACATTGAAAAATGTGATAAATATCTTGTATGGTTAAATGATGCAATATAAGTTGTTTATAAGATATTTAGAATAAATGACTAACATTGTATTGTATGGTGGGAATGAGGAAAGATCCTAGAGTTGGCGGCGGTGTCGGTGGAACTAGCGCAGTTAACCAGTACCCAACCCAACACTCACCAAGGTAAGGACAAGTCTTTAATTTGTACAATTGAAATGGAAAATGTGGTATTTTCTGGTTGTGCAAGGATTAATTGGTGAATCACGTATTTATTATAAACATATATGGGTATGTTTGTAATAAGGATTGCGTGGATGCACTGGATATGTTTGATAGTGAAATCAATGAAAAATGAAATATATTTTTAGCCGACCATAAATGGTTAGCGACTTCGGCTCGAGTTTACGTAGCAACACTTCGTCCCGAGTTTATGTGGCAACACTTCGGCCCGAGTTTATGTGGCAACACTTCGGCCCGAGTTTATGTGGAGGCATGTTTTCTTTGTAAAAGATATGAGAAATCGCTTTTAGCTAACCCTAAGGGGTGTAGTGACTTTGGCTCAAGTGATGTAGCACGGAAAATGAATTTCAAAGTGATTTACTAACCTTTTCTAATGCGGATTATCATATAATGACGTTCATTGAATTAATGACTTACTCCTTTATGTGTTTGTGTTTTTTTCATTGATAATCCCATTGCAGATAAACAGATGACATGAGGTGGTCTTATTTTTGGAAGCTTAGGAGCTTTATGTTTTGGTTTCAATTATTAGCACTATTTTGTACATGAGTGCTTATTGGATTACTTGGAATATTTTGTAACTATGGATATATAACTTATCTGATTTATTGTAACTCTGCATATTCGTATCTATGGGTATTTTGGAAACCTATAGCTAGTTGTATGAGGTAGTCACTAGGGTTCAATTGAATGAATTATGTTTTTCTGCAATATAAAGTGTATGGTCACATAATATGTTAAAAAAGTGGTCTTACGGAGAGATTAAAGTAGGATGATGAATGTATGCATGAAAGGATTACAATAAGGGAAAAAATTTCAAGGGTAGAAATTTCGGTCCTTACTTGATGCATGGCTTTGGCATAGGAGAATTGCTCACATACATATGGATAATTTGAATAAGTTTGTTAAAGACAAACTATGTGGTGCATGTCAAATGGGTAAAGAAACAAAAACTTCTTTCAAGCCAAAGCATATGGTTTCTTCTGATAAACCATTGCAGTTACTACACATGGACATGTTTGGCCCTTCAAGGACAAAAAGTTATGGTGGTAACTACTATGCTCTTGTTATAGTAGACGATTTTTCACGATACACTTGGACTCTATTCTTAGTTCATAAGAATGAGACATTCAAAGCTTTTAGCACTTATGCTAAAAGAGTCCAAAATGAAAAGTCACTAAAAATCGCTGCTAAAAGAAGTGATCATGGGGGAGAATTTCAAAATGCTTCTTTTGAGGAATTTTGTGATGATCTTGGGATTAATCACAACTTTTCTTCTCCTATAACACCACAACAAAATGGTGTTGTAGAGATAAAGAAACCATCTTTAGAAAAACTTGCTTGAACGATGTTAAATGAAACTAACCTCCCAAAGTACTTTTGGGCTGATGCGGTAAGTATTGTGTGTTATGTTTCAAATCGAGTTCTCATAAGACCAACCAAATATTTCTCACTTGCATGTATTTGGTTGTAAATGTTTCGTTTTAAATAATGGCAAAGAAAACTTAAGCAAGTTTGATGCAAAAGCCGATGAAGGAATCTTCCTAGGCTACTCTCTCACGAGTAAAGCTTATAAAGTCTTTAACAAAAGAACTTAAGCCATGGAAGAAATCATTCACATCTCCTTTGATGAAACCAATCCCTTAAGGAAAGGTTAACTCTTGATGAAGAGTACTTATCAAATTCCACTATTAATGAAAATGCTATTATTGAAACTACAACTAATGCAGAGCATGTGGAAATGGATGATAATCCATCCATTCAAGAAGAGCATATTCACTATGATTTACCTAAATAGTGGATAACTCATCGAGATCACCATATAGACAACATCATCGGCGACATAGTAAGGGTATCACTACCCACTTAATGCTGGAAGATGCATGTCTAAACATGGCCTTCGTCTCTCAGATAGAACCCTCCAAGATTGATGAAGCAATCGAAGATGAACACTGGATTCTTGCTATGCAAGAAGAACTTAACCAGTTTGAGAAAAATGAAGTTTGGGAACTTGTTCCTAGAACTAAGAATAAGCATGTAAAAGGAACTCGTTAGGTGTTCCGAAATAAATCAGATGAAAATGGCATCATCATAAGAAATAAGGCTAGACTAGTAGCCCAAGGATACAACCAAGAGGAAGGCATAGATTTTGATGGAACCTTCGCTCCGGTTGCTAGACTTGAAGCTATTAGATTACTGCTTGCATATGCATGTTTTTTGAGCTTTCAACTTTACCAAATGGACGTAAAGAGTGTATTTCTCAATGGATATATTCAAGAGGAAGTATTTGTAGAACAACCTCCTGGTTTTGAAGACTACAAACATCCCTATCATGTATACAAGTTAAAGAAAGCCCTCTATGGCTTAAAGCAAGCTCCACGTGCCTGGTATGAACGTCTAACAAACTTTTTAACGGAAAAAAGATTTTCTAAAGGAAAGGTCGACACTACACTTTTTATTAAGAAAATAAATCATCACACTCTCCTTGTTCAAATCTATGTAGATGATATTATTTTCGGTTCTACTAACGAAAGTTTGTGCAGTGAATTTGGCAATATGATGCAAGGAGAATTTGAGATGTCTATGATGGGAAAGTTAAACTACTTCCTTGGACTCCAAATCAAGCAACTTAGCAATGACATTTTTGTAAGTCAGTCCAAATACTGCAAAGACTTGTTGAAAAGATTCGAGATGGATGACTGCAAGCCAATTGCTACTCCTATGGGATCAAGTACCTATATCGATGCAGATGAAGCAGGAAAATGTATTGAAATATCTAAGTATCGAGGTATGATCGGATCCCTTCTTTATCTTACTGCTAGTAGACCAGATATTATGTTTAGTGTATGCTTGTGTGCGCGCTATTAGTCTAAACCTAAAAAATCACATTTAGTTGTCGTTAAGAGAATCATGAAGTATCTCAAAGGCACAACTGATGTTGGACTATGGTATCCAAAAGGAAGCGTATGCGATTTGGTTGGTTTCTCATATTCAGATTTTGTGGGATGCAAATCTGAGAGAAAAAGTACAAGTGGTACTTGTCACATTCTAGGAATTGCTTTAGTTTCTTGGTCTTGCAAGAAACAAGCTTGTGTTTCCTTAAGCACCGCTGAAGCGGATTACATAGCAGCCGATAGTTGTTGTGCCCAAGTGTTGTGGCTTAAACAACAATTACGGGATTATGGCTTGAACTTAGGCTGCACACCTTTGAAGTGTGACAATACTAGTGCTATAAATCTTACTAAGAATCTGATTATGCACTCAAGAACCAAGCATATCGATATAAAGCAACACTTCCTTAGGGACCATGTCCAAAAGAAGGATGTGTTAGTAGAATTCATCGATACTCACAACCAAATAGCAGACATATTCACTAAACCTTTAGCAAAAGAACCTTTCTTCAAAATTAGACGAGAATTATGCATTCTCGATGAAGCTTACTTATCCTAACATGTTTATATGTTTATATGTATGCTTCATTGTTTGTATCTAATGCTTACTTGTTCTTAAAATATGCTTCTTATGCTTTAAATTTCAAGTTTCTAGAGTCAGAAACCATTTTCAGCATCAGTATGGAGACAACATGTTACAGTAATCGATTATTGTATTCAAGTAATCGATTATTCAAAGATCCTGTTTTAAAATTTTAAATTTTTGAAAGTGAGTAATCGATTACTCACTTGGTGTAATCAATTACTTTGTGCAGTTTCTATAAAAACTGTTGCACTGTTTCAGAAAACTCTTAACTTTCTCTCTCCTGGTACTCATGACTTCTCCCTTTAAATCCTCTCAATATCTAAAAACTCAATTTTTGCATCGTTTTGGTTTTTTCGTGATTAGTGGTCTCAATCCAAAACCCCCAATTTCCAAAACCTAAACCTAAAACCTTCAAAATCCAACAATAGTTTCTTCTTCCAAAACCAAGAGACCAAGAACTAGTGGGTCTAAATCCAAGCAAGGGGAATATTCTTCAAAGTCTAATCCATTGAACTTGACGATGCTTCTTGCAAACGATTCACAAAGAAAGGTTTTCGAAGAACATTTTCATGGACGCACCATTTTCACTCCGAAATACGGCAACATCGGAAATTTTGAATTTGAAGACTTTCTATTTCCTTACTTATTATGGCAACAAAAACTTGTTGATTTTTGCTCTGAAGCGAATGATATTTATCTTGAGCTTGTTCGTGTATTTTAATGCAATATGAACTTTAGGAAGAATCTTATGACTTCCCATGTTAAGGGAAAAGATATAGTTTTGGATACCAAAACCTTCAGTTCAATATTCTATGATATACCGATGCAAGGTGACATTATTGGTTTCGGCCTAGTATGTGAATGAGATGATTATGATCGCAAGAGATTCTATCTTTCTCTATGTAGAATCTCTAAGGAGGAAATAGAACAGCGAAAGCAACAAGGCTTCAGCGAGATTGTTAAGAACGGAGATATCCTCTCTCCTGGATATCTCAAGTTGGAAGAGCGTTTGCTCCATTATTTTCTGAGATGTCATTTTGATGAAATTTTCAAATCATTCGCAAATTAGTGACATAGAGCTCCAATTGATGTATGCTATTAAGTATAACATCAAGATAAATTGGACTCAGATGATTATACAGCAAATGTGGCATGTTCGCAGTTCGCAAAGTCTGTTGTCTTACGTTATCTTCATTACAAAAATTCTCGAGCACTTCGGCGTATCTCTTGATGGTGAGACAAAAGTGGCCCTCAATCTTCGCGAAAGCAAGATCTATATAGAGGTTGTCCACAAGATGGGATTTACTTTAGATCACGTTACTCGTCGAACCTATAAGCATCGCATCGACCGACCGACTACTCCTACCGAAGAACCAGAACCTACCATACCTGACCAGCCTGAGTCTCAAGCTCCTTCTTTCTCGTATGCTGACATGCCTTCTAATCAAATTATCATGGATGAATTGGTTTCTCTTCGAGGCTACATCACTACAAGGATGGATGCTCTCGACACTCGGAACCAACAAATTCATTATGAACTTCATCGTCTTTCATCAAGGCTAAACAACATGATTACCGATGAAGACAATTCCGAGCCTGAATCTTAGATTTTTTGTCTAGGTTTCTGTTTGTAATGATGATGGCTATGATATTTCTGATTGGATTTGAACATTGTTTGGTTATTGTCTTTTATTTCTTGTTTTGGATATTATGTATGAACATCTTATATTGCGGTTCTATGCAATGATTTCTGTTTTGTTTCATACATGTTATAATTATGGTGATATACTATAATTTCGCTTATATATTATGCAATTTCATATACTATGAATAAACTGTATGCTACACATTGTCTATTGTGCTGGACTCTTGGCTTTTCTTCTTTTTGATGAAGTAAAAAGGGGGAGAAAAGTTGGGAGAAGTGCATTTTCTATATAAATCTTTCAGGCACATAACTCCAAAAGAAAGGGGGAGCATACAAGATAGGGGGAGCATACTCAAGACAAATCAAGAAAAATCATCAAGTATGCTACTCTCAAAAAACTACACCTTCAAGAAGATATTGTTTTGTCATCATCAGAAATGGGGAGATTGTGAAGAAGATATTGCTCCTAACCTTGACATGGTTTTGATGAAGACATCAACATCACAAAAAGAAGAAAGGAA